AGAGAGAGAGAGAGAGAGAGAGAGAGAGAGAGAGAGAGAGAGAGAGAGAGAGACGTACCTGCATGCTGAGTTGAGAGGCCATAGCCGCTGGTGACGGAGAAGACGACCAAATTTGCGTTGACCATTGAGACTCTTTTGGACTTCGTGTGACATCTGTGGGAGCGGTGTGATGCGGGATCTGTGCCCGAGTGTTTCATGCATGGTGGTCTCATTGCAAATAGCGAATGTCTCAAAAAAACAAGACAAAGAGTGCGCAGAGTCTGCAAGAGGGGGACCATGAGCAGCAAACACCGAACAACCCAGTCATTCCTTGCAGTTGGAGTTTTTATTTCTGTGCTTCTCTGTCTCTCGGCTCATCATCAAGTTGTTAAAGGTAGTGAAGGAGGGGAAAGATGATGCGGAAGAGTAGGACCCTTTCAAAAAAAAAAAAAAAAAAAAAAAAGAAGACGACGGTTACAAGGGAAAGGCGAGAGATAAGGGGGAAGCAGTGATGTAAGGAGGAAAGAGGGGTCATAAAAAGGGATGGGAAGAAGGACAGAGGCATCGTCTTCCCCGGCCCTAAGGGTGGAGAAGGAAGGAGGTGGAACACGATGAGAAGTGAGGTAAGGAGGACAGAGGGATCGTAAAAAGGGATGCCAGAGCAGGAGGAGAGTGGAGAAAGGGAGGAAGAGAGAGACATGAAGGATGGGCAAATGGGCATGTTTCACCTGGGCGTGCCTCGGCTGAGGTCCAACGAGACGTCCATCGGCCCACTTTCTGGAGGCCCGTCCTCCTGGGGCTCAGCTACTTCACCGAATGGAGCGAAGTTGTCCCGCATTATTGGGACAGCTCGCAGCTTCCTCACTTCAGGCTTATTAGCTGATAGCAATGATCCCCCAATTACTACATCATTGGCGACCTCCATGACACGCTCCCCTTTACGAAGCTTTCTTCTACCTGCTGAATAGAAAAGCACAAAGTCATTCAGATTTCCTTTTAGGTTTTCTTCCATCTCAAGATTCACTCTCTTCTATATGGCCAACAAAGTTGAACAAACAGAAAAGTTGCTGAAATAGGGCCTTGCTCCGCTACTCACGAAATGTGCAAATACAGAATGAACATTCCGCTAGAACCTGGTAAGATAAGACTCCCATTTTTTTTTTGTCTTTTGTGCATGTCGCGAGTAGTGGAGCGAGGCCCATAAACAAACGAGAACTCAGGGAATTATAAGTTACAATGTAATAATACTATAATAGGTGATATAAGTTTTGGACCAACACTCATCGTTTACGGCATGGACTACCAGGGTCATTTTGAATTTAAATCAAAAATGGACTATATCATTCTCTGAGTTTTTGTTTTGATTGCAATATCAAGTCAATGTGTTCCGAAAATTGTTTTTTTACTTTTTTTTTTGTTTTTTTGTTTGTTTGTTTGTTGGTTTGTTTTTTTTGTTTCTTTGTCTTTAATGTGGATGCAAGGACCTGCCAAAACACGGACTGAGGACGCTGCTGAATTCTGACGTTTGCCGCCGCTGGAATGACTGCCTTGCTGAGATTTCCGCTTTTTGTTGCTGAGTTTTCTAAGTCTGTGTGTGTGCGTGCGTGCGTGCTTGCTGGTCTGCGTGCCGGTCTGAGTGCTTGTCGGCCTGAGTGTGTGTGTGACCCGCAAGGGTACTTGTTGGTTTGGGAGGCCGGTAGGCCCGGTGCTTACCTGTGGCCATGACTTGGGGGTTGCAGCGGGGGAAAATACGCAAGTGGCTGAGGGGGTAGCCTAGGGCACACTCGAGTAGTGGTAGTGGTAGGCTGTAGGTACTTGAGTAGCAGGTAGGCCGGTACCATTCAAGTAGCAGTAGATGTGTCGGTCGGCAACCAGAGGCCGAGCAGAAGAAGACAAAAAACTAGTATTTTTAGAGGCCCAGTAGCGGTAGGCTAGGTCTAGGCGGGTACCAGTCCAAGTAGCCTGAGTCTAGGGCCTGTACGGACGATATCAGAGTTCAATTTTGACAGATGCCTCGAAGTGCAATGAACCGCTTATGCACAATGGGAGTGGGAGTTCACACAAAGATTCACAACCAAGTTCAGAGACGGGATCGCCAGGTTAGCGCAGCTTGAGAAACTTACAAGATGAATGATCATATTATACAAAGTCATACTTCGAGTCCCAGCGCTCATCAGCACAACATCCGACAGCCTCAATCAGGTGTGTAACTGAGTGCCCTCCTCATGTGACTCTCTCTCTCTCTCTCTCTCT